AGTATTATTCATGCTTTCATCCTAAGGTGGAGGATTTTTTCTTAGTCTTTTATACAAAGGGGCACATAACGTTCTGACATCTAGAATAAAATTTGTTATATAATTTAAACATCCTAAAAATCTTTGTAATTATGTTTTTCCTTTTATTTGGTTTGAAAATTTTTCAGCAAATTCTAATGATCTTTGTATTGGAGTAATTGTTCCTTGAAATATTTCATATCCTAGAAATCTAATTTTTTCTTGAAATATCTTCATCTTTTTAGCCGATACTACTAACTCATTTCTTTTTATTAATTATATATATATTTATTTATATGTTCTATATGTTGTTAGATACCTTTTGAATATATTAATATATACTATAGAAAATTTCATATAAGAATAAAAAAATATTATTTATAATTTCTTGAAATACACTAGGGGCATTTTTTAAACCTTGTAGCATTACATTCCACTCATTATTTAGGCTCATAGAAAAATTTGGATAACATTTAAAGAAAGCAAGGTCATCTTGTAAATTTGTTTGCTATTATTGAATCTTTTATTTTTAAAAGTTTCATATTTCTTAATAATATTAATACAGGAGATTTACACCTATCCTGTAGTTTGGTTTAACTGCTAATTGAATTAATCTTAGATGGATAAAATTAAATCCATCTTTCTTATGTTTTTGTAATAATTGATCTTCTAATAATTGAATATTTTTTTTGCTTTGTGTTCTTGTGTATGAGTATTCTATTTTGTGTATTTCTTCATTATTACTATTGAAAGACCAAAACGATCTTTGTTGATAAATATCTTTTTTTTTATAATAGGTATTGATCAGTTATGTAAAGATTTTTTTATATCATTTATTGTAATTTGTTATGGGGTTGTTATACCAGATGTTGATGATACATCCTCATTCATTTCTTTCCTTACTAGTTGATTATTAAGTCCTAAGTTTAACTTACTCATAGTTCTTAATAAATTTGCCATTTTAAAATACAACCTTTTATGCGACTGGAACATCCTAGCTGACCAACGAATTCACTGCCATCCTCTGGACTTACTACCGGGACCACTATTCGAGCTTACCAACGTCTAAACAACTCTCATTGCTACACTTATGTTAGGTTTTAAAATCTTAAACCTATCTTGAACTCTAAGTTTGTAAAACTTAAAGCTTAAATAAACTGCTAATACTCTCGTCTCTCTCCTCCTAAAATCAGAACTCGTTTAGGCTCAGATACCAATTAGGAATGGATCGCACAACATTTTAATGTTAATGGAAAAATTGGGAAAGATAGTAATACCAATCTAAGTCTAAAAACTCTTACAGACAATCTGAGCATTTCATTTAACTTAAATCTAACGAGTTATAATTTATTACTTTATTAGCCGTTAGATTAAGTTAAATGAAAGGCTCAGATTGAGTGTAAGAATTTTTAGACTTACACTAATGTAAAAGATTATTTTCCATATATATATAATTGGACGCACACACATGTATATATGTAAACCTGAATTATTTCCAAAAGTGTTGAAAGTTGTCCAATAGCACTCAAACAAAATGTGCAACTATCATTTAATTGCTACATGCGCTACAGCTTAATTCTTCCAAAACACAGAAAGGTGGATTAGTCCAACTTTTTTAAAGAGTAATTAGTAATTATTATATTATTATTTTTTTAATAAAAGACATATTTGTTTGTTTATATTTTTATTAAATTGTTTTATTTAAAATTAATTAAAAATTATATTTTAAACATAAAAATTATTTATCAAATTAAGTTATTTCACTTTAAAAATAAATTTCATCAAATTAAAATGAGACAATTTAAATTTATAAACATTCATTAATTTTTTATAAGTTTGCAAGTTATTTTTTGCATTCATAAATATTATATGTTTATGATTTTCATGATGATAATATTGTATTTAATTTTTCTTTTAATATAATAAATTTTATTTAAATAAATCATTTCAAGCATTTTGATAATAGAGTTAACAAATTTAGCTAACATTGCTTTTCTATGTCAACTTTGTGTATCTATTGTGATTTTAAAAATATTTATTGAACAAATAATGTTCCTACAATAATTTTATAAAAATAAATATAAAAATAATAATATAAAATATTTAAATATAAAAAAATTTATAATTAATACTCAAATAATATTTTAAAATAATGAACTAAAAAATTATTTATAAAATTATATAAATAAAAAATATTAATGTGATTTAATAATTATCAATATTATAGACAAAAATTAGATAATTATATGAATTAATTTAATAATAAATTGTTATATTTTAATAACAATAAATTATTCTAAATATTTAATATTATACAAATTTAATTATTCTTCATATAATTTTTAAATAATTTTATTTATTTATAAATTTATAATAAAAAATATGTTATATAAAAAATATTTTTAATAAATTATAATAATATTTTTTAAAAGTAATTGGCACGTGAATTAATTTTAACACCGACGAGCTTTTGGACTTATAAATTATAGACATTTTAACTTTATGAAATTCTTGGCCATAATCCATGCTAAATTAGTTAGGACCGCGTCCGTTTCGGAACTCTATGTCGTGCGAATTTCTTAAATGTTATTTTTATAGAATCTTCAGCTGTGGTGAATTTCATAAAAATTTTGGTATATCTTCAAATTTTCAAGTGACAGAGAAAGCTTGCTACAAACCCACTTGACCTAACCAGGTGTTAAGAAGGCATAAAACACACAGAATTCCAAATAAATTACCTGGACTGCAGAACTACGACCCCTGAGATGTCAGCAACCTCACGAAGTGCCTCTCTCCAATGTTGCACCTGGCTGTTCCCCATAATATAACAAACCAACTTGAACTATGCAACTCTAAAGAATGGAAAATTTTAAATAATACTATTTTTAATGTGTGAAATGCCACAATACAAAATTAATAAATAGTAATTTTTATTAATGCCATAAATAAATTACCTGGGATTAAAGACTACCTTGTTTTCCTGAGGTAAATGTTTATTTATAAGATATTCAAATCCATTTCCAAATTCACAAGTTTGATGACGCACTTCAGAAGGATCAACATCATAGAACACAGGCAGAACCACCTGCCCTATGGTTCTGTGACACTTCATTATTGCCTCTAACTCTTGCATACACCATCCTGAATTCGCATAACTTCTTGAGAAAACGATGACAGAAATTTCAGACTCGTTAATTGCGTGCACTAACGACTCTGTAATGTGATTTCCCCTTGCAAGCGTTTCATCCATGAAAACATTGATTCCGGCTTGTTGAAGAGCAGCATAGAGGTGTGAAGTGAAAGAAGCACGAGTATCCTCTCCTCTGAAACTCAAAAACACATCATGAATCCTTCTCTCGCTTGATAGCATCACCTGATCCAAAAGCATCTCCGAATCAATAAGTGTTTGAAATTCACCGTCCATCCAATTGATATCCATATCAATATGAGATGAAGACATGTCTTCGAGATGAACGCAAATCGTTCACTAAAACTGAAGAAATACAGAAAACTGATGAGATCTAACCAAGCAGAGAGATGACTTCGAAAATGGAAGTGCAGGTGCGCAAGTAAAGTGGACAAAGAGCAACAGAATAAAGGCGGAGCGAAAAACCAACTTTTAGAGAGGAGCCGAAAGTTTAAAGCTTTCCAACTAATATCCAAGTTTAAAATTCGGAATGCGGACCTCTAAAAATATTATTTTAATAACCAGTTATAAAAAACAAAACAGATTTTACATTATTACTCTTTTAAATTTTTTAAATATAACTCAAATTAAATTTTCTATTTTCTGATGGTGGAGAACGAAACTTGTTAACTTGCAAAACAGAGCTTTGGTTGGTGAAATTAGCTAAAACTCATCCAATGTGATGAAGGGATGGCTTCGACTTGGAATCCTAGTAAGAAACCCTAAATGTTGACTCCCATTAGATAGTATATTAGGCACAATTTTATCGTGGATGATATTTATGTCGTTGTCGTTCAAAATTATTGGTTTCATTGTTTTGTTGTATCTTTGTGTGTGAATATGGTAACGATTGTATTCTTATTATTATGTTGTTGGCATGTTTGGTTTTATGTGACTGATAAAAATAATAATAATTAAAAAAAACATTGTAGCGAGTGTTTGCACTTTGTATGAATGTGTTTGATAACCGATGACTTACCATCAGTGTTCTTTGTTTTTTACTTAATCATGAGGGACCTTTTGAAACAACTAACCAAATACAATGACCCATGGTAGGAATATGTTGGAGGAAGGAAGTACATAATGCATGATTATGACCCTGACCAATGGTCTCTTCAAGAAATAACTGTAGTGTTCAAAGCTTTGGATTACAAAGGTGGTTATTCTATTTCAAGCCTTGGTCTTCATCTTGAGGAAAGGTTGGTAAAAGTATCCAATTATGAAAGAGTTATGGAAATTGTAAAGATTGCTATGAGCATTTCTGCAATGAAGGTTTCATTGTATATGGTGCACTATAAAGTCAAAGTTTTAAGGTATTCAACTTACACCTAGTGAAGAAGAAGGTGAACATTCTAAAAGTTCTGATTATATGGTGGTGGATGATTCTGATGAAGACAGTGTGCAAGGAATTCACTGTAGTGATAGTGAACATGAGCAGGATCATGGATGTTGGCTACAATACTTGACAAAGTGACGCAAAAAAATGTTTGGTTGACACAGATACCAAACATTTCTTTTGTGTGTCTATATATAAATATATATCACAAATGAGAATTATCTTTACTACATATCCCTATATATATATATATATATATATGCATGAAAAAAAGATTTTTTTATATTAGTATAAGTTTAAGTCTCAATGTAAATTTTTCATTTAACTTATATTACAAATTGAGTTATATTACAAATTGAAAGTGAATGAATCTTGCGAATCTGCACAAATCTACGTATAATTGTAATTGTAGCTGTACCTATATTACATGTACAAATACGTGCAAGCAACATTTTATCTGTGGACAGGTAGAAGCACCAATATCTTTTCTTTGTCAACCTAGGAAGAAACATTAAATACCTGGTGGACTACATGAACCAGTCCAACTTAAGATGTTCATCATTATGTACCAAAAAAGAGATCCATCATAGAAGATGGAAAATGCAAAAGGAGGAAACTTTCGAAGGGAGAGAAGATCACTATTGTCCCCTCAAACTCACAATTACAATCTCACCAGTGATCTTGTATGACACATTTGAGAAGAGTTAAAAAAGAAATTATCAAAATAAATGTGAAAAAACAAACTCAGTTCAGCTTTTTCTTCTCCAGAATCCAATTTTGGACTCTGCTTACATATGTCTCATTTATTTTCACATAAAATAGGCATAATTTATTGTATCCCTTCAAGACATATCTATCTATGTAATCTTCATATCTTTCATAGAGTGCTGGTACGGTAAGAACAATAAAGAGACCTGCCACATAACCAAACCACAAGAACAAATTTGTGTTTATTAATTTGCTACTTGATTGTCAGAAATAGTGAAGACTATTTGATTCTGAGTCTAATTTGATCAAATAATGCTCTGAAACTTACTGGTGTATGCCAGGGTAAGGAAATCAGTCAAGCCACCAACAATAGAAATTAACCAGAGGTATGCAGCTACCTTCAGAAACAGCCTTGAGTCTTTACCAAGGGCAATATCTTGAGAAACTGATAACAGATCATTGACTCTGGTGCGGATAAAAGTTGTCATTTCGTTTGCTATTTCCTCTGACAGATGTAACTGTGGTAGAGGTGGAGCAGGTCTGTCATAAGAAAAATTAACAGTTTAATGAGCTTTTATACATTTTGTTGATAAAATGCAAACCATTAACAACTACCAAAAATTACTCAGGCAAATTACTGAACATGATGACATGTTAAGAACAATGAAAGCTAGTAATGTGAAGTGTCTAAACTACAACATCTTATTCAAGTGGAGGAATAAATCAGGAAGCAACAATTTCTGCATAATCGTAACCCAAAATGAACCAACCTAGACTTTCAAATGATTGACTATATTATGTTTTTCCATCAAGTTGCCAATGTATTGCTACTGGACTCTATTGGTCAAAGGAGTACTTAGGGACTGTTTGGTTTCAAAATTGTTTCCTATTTTTATTTTTTGTTTTCATTTTTAGTTACAAAATTGCCACCTTGTTTTCATTATGTTTTCTGCTCACAACCTTTCACTAGTTCATATAAAATCTTTGAAATAAAAATGAAAACAAGGTGACACTGTGACAGTGTTTTATAATTAAAGTGAAAATAGAAAACGTTTTCTAAACTCAGAAAGCAAAGTATTTTCTAGGTAATCAGGTGCAAGATCAGCACCAAAATGAACTGTAAATAAATGGATGTAAGATCAGGACTCTTAAAGACACAGCATCATATCTTCAGCATTATAGACTGCGTCACTGAAGACAAGGCTCAATTTCACCATTGCACTGATCAAAGATTAAAGTACCTTCCATCAATGAGCATTCAAATTATGCAAATATATATATATATATATATATTCTATGAGAACAAACTACATTAAAAAGTATTTTCTCCCTCAACAGCAGCATTAAAACTCAGGGTTCTCAAGAATGAAAAATGACAATTGAAAAATGATTTTCAACAGGCACAAAAAACCCATTGACAACTGCTGATAAACTGATGCCCCTCCAATGTGCAAGAAAAGTAAGTTCTGAACATTAAAATACAAATGTGTTCTGCAATTTTTTTATTCAAAGCAGACATCACTATTGTGCATAGGAGCATTAAGTTTTCAAGCAATTCTTCAAATTTCTTAAAACTACAACAGCTAAATTCCAGTATACATGTTACACAATTTTAACCACTAGATCATACCAGCATTTATCTTTCAGGGTTCAATACAGCACACACGAATATCCAAGTCAAGTATATTCAAAGAAACATTAATTGACAAAATTGTACAAGTATTACCTGTTGAGAATCGCTGCTGATTTGGCCCAAAGGAAAAGAATGACAATGAGAAGGAGAAGAACATTAGATACAAGAGACAGAAGAGTATAACCAGATCTTTCAAACACAATCCAAGCAGCTAGTGTGACCAACAATATCCCCACAGTCAGGTTCTTCCGCCTCCAAAGTATTAAATCTGCAACTGCATTCATGAATAGCATTGATTCAACAAGATTCAAGGTCAAGGATCAATTATCAATTAATTCTTTGCTTCTGACCCTTTTTCCTATTAGTACTGAAAGAAAATAAAATGAAAACAAAAGATACAAGCACAGAAACACAACACCCCATATAGCTATTCCACTATTAAATCAAATAGTACTTAAAATGCACATAAATAAACAACACCAAGGAGACAAAAGAGAGAAGATTGTGATAATCTGATTAAAACAAATCACCAATAAAGTTAAGAAATTCAATCAAAACTAAGAAGGGGACAAAAAAATGGCATACCTTGACCACCACCAAGGATCTGATGAAGAGTTCTTTGCCTGTTGAACAATCGATGAGAAGAACCCATTTTGAGGAGAAGCTAAAGACAGGAACTTGAAGGCAGGAAGGGATCTGTGTCACCAAAAAGCAGAGAGCTTTGAGATGATCCACAGAAAAAAGGAGAAGCAGTGAACAACAACTATGTTGAACTTTTATTCGTTGATTCACTCACCTTACCTTACCTTACCTTACCTCTTTCTCTTTTTTGAATTTTATTGTAGGAGTGGTCCCTGAATTATGTATTGTAAGGATTAAGGGTGTTGAAAGCTGGGTCTGAATGTCTCAAATTACAGCCTAAAAGTGCTGTGCCATTCTATGCTTTTCAGTCTCTCATATAACAGCAAAGTCCTACCCAATGCACTACAGAAAAAAACAAAGTCTATGTTTGATCTCACCCTCCATTGTAAGCTACCTTCACTTGTTTTTACCATTTTTCTCGTTTACCGCGGCACCGCCCCACCCATTTCATTTCAAAGGAGCCTTCCATGACATCACTCACCAAATTAATCCTTAAAATTAAGAGTATTAATTAATTTAATTTCTAAAATTATAAAAGTATCCTTTTCATTTTATAATTATTAAAAATAATTGTTTCAATCTTTGATATAAAAATTAAGATGAAAATGGTGGTCTATTGACCCATGTTTATTAAAATGGTGATATAAATATTTTAAAGTATGCATTTATGGTGGACCGAAAAAAAAAAAGAGTATGCATTTATAATCTTAGAAAGGAAATGATGTTGTTTGTTCTTACTATTATCTTCCTTCGGACAGCATTTTTTTTTCCTTTCGAGACACTCATTCTACATTTGTAGAAGATGATTATACCAATTTCATATAATTGTTGTATATTCTTTTTGGTAAATGCGAAAAAAAACAAAAAAAAAAAAACAAATGATTTTCTTATATATGGATAGTACTTTTAAATAAAATAATTTTAAACTTTTTTTAACATCTTTCTATTAATACTTTTTTTATTAAAAAATATTAATCATTAAATATTTTTATATTTTAAAATGTTAAAATGTTTATTTATATTTAGTAGTTTTTCAAAAAAATTTAAAATAGATAAATATATATATATATATAACGTTAATTATTTTAAGATAGTATTAAAATAATTTTAATAAAACTTTCATGATATATTTTATTATCATTAAAATATATCTTAAATGTTTTTATTAATTATGCATACTAATATTATGCTTGTGAAATAATTGCTCTATTATTTTTGCTCCTATAAAAATGCATGGGTTTAATTTAATCTTCTGTAGTTATAAAAAAAAGATATATCAACATAATTATTTTTTTTTAAATGTTGATATTAGTTTAGCTATTTATTAATAAAAATAATATTTATTTATTTTAAGATAACAATTATACTAACCAAATTGTACATGAAATACTAATTTTGTTGAAATCAAGTGTGAATAGCCTCATAGAAGATAGAAGATAGAACATAAGTAATTTAGAAATTTATAAAAAAAAAAAAACAAACACATACACTTATTGTCTTGAGATTAAGTTGCATTGAGATGTACATTTATTGATACTCTCTCTTTTTTATTCTCCTCTCCAAAAATGAAAATTAGGTCAATCCAAGTAATAAACTTACAAATAAATGAGCCGCGATAAAGAAACTGGATAGTGTGACATTTATGATCGGTGTGAGAATTCACTTTAAAAAAAAACAATAACACTAGATAAGTCCACTCCACATAAGATTTCCTTAATGTGACTCCCCTCCCAAACAAAATTTAACTTAATTTTAGTAACTCTAATTTTAATTTGAATCAAATGCTTCACCCAAAAAAAACAAATAGAACATAAATCCTTAACCTTAAAAGTAAAAGATTAAAAATTAAAATATTATTTTATATAATTTATATGTAATATATAATTATACATTTCAATTTATAGTCTAATAACATGTTATTTAAATTTATATTATATTAATTTATAATATTATATTTTATAGCTAAAAGTAAAAAAATAATAATATTTTATTACAATAATAACTAACTCTTATTTTATTTTATTTTTTATCCGGTTTAATCCGAACTTGACCTATATTGCGCACCTGGATATGGTAGATGAGTTTATCACTGAAAATTTTTTACATACATAAAGACTCGAATCCAAAACCTTACTTAAGGTATACTAAACCGCTTGCCACTTGAAATAGATTATGACTTTTGTATGTTGTTTTTTTAATTTATTTTAATAAATTTTATTAAAATAAGTTATTTTTATCTTATTTAAAAAAGAGACAGGATCTTCTCACGTTAGTGTAAGTGTAAAAACTCTTACACTTAATCTGAACATTTTATTTAACTTATATCTATTAAGTTATAATTTATTACTTTACTAACCGTTAGATATAAATTAAATAAAAGTCTCAAGTGTAAAATTTTTTAAACTTATACTAATGTGAAAAGACTTTATCCCTTTAAAAAATATTAAATAAGTAGTTATCTAAACACATCTTTACTCAAAAGTTATTATGAACGAAACATTTATAAACCCTTTTCATGTTAGAATAATAGTCTTATTATTACTCTTTTTACTGGTATTTTTAGTTTACTTTTTTACATGTGTTCATGTTAATCAATTTTTTGTCATATTTTTAATAAATTATTTTAATAGTCTTCTTATGCATTTTTTTTTTATCATACTTTTATTTATGTAAACACTCATCTATCTTAACAATATTATTCTAATTATATTAATTATATTAAAAAATTTGTTGATAATATTTTATAATTAAGAATCAAATTATCTTTAAATAATTTATAGTTTAGTATATTATTTTTAATTAATATTTTTAATTCTTTTATCATTAATATTAGTATTATAATGACATTCATGCATTGTTAATAAAATAATTAAATGCATAATTAAAAATATATTAAATTAACTAAAATACAAGTAACAAATTCATATACAAATACGTTTTAAAAATACCTTATTCAAATTCCACCGTTATCATTCATAATCTTAAAGATGGTGTATCAAAAATATTTATACTTAGTCGAAAGCACGCATCCTTAGCCAAATTGCTCTACGAGTTCTTTTATAATTTTAGTGAATTTTAAATTAGTTATTATAAATTTATAATGTAAATATTTACTGAAGTTCTTACCTTTTAGATAATTTCTATTAGTTGACAATAGTTAGATTCCTTAAGCATTTAAAGTCATTTCAATATTATTTTTTGTTACATTATCACTTCTAAGGACTTAATTACATAATTTTATAATTAGAATAGGTGTAATTAAAAAATTAATTAAGCAATAATAATTGATTTATTTATTTATTTTAATAAAAATGTAGAGGTGAAACGGGAAATACAAACTAACGCTGTTTTACACTTTCCACATTGTTTCTTCGTAAAACGGTAAAGGAAAAGGATAAAGTTTAGGTAGGAGTAATCACCTCCTCGGGAAAATCTAATTGTTTTTACACTCGAAAGTTTATATCACCAAAAATAAATTAATAAAGTAAATAACTTCATCTTTAAAATCTCAAGAACCAAAGACATTTTCGATGAGGTTGTTTTGTCTTTTCCTCAATAGACTAACTTATTCTTTTTTAATATACTCTTAAGTCACTAATTTTCACTCTGTTACCAGCATTCCTCTGATTGCCTTTCGCCCTCCCCGCTTCGTGATTTTCTAAAACCTTGCCAAAGGGCCTACAAATCAACACTGTAACATGATTGATCCGACTATCGGGAAAAAGCAAAAAAAAATAGATAAACACTAACAGTTGTTTCTTTAAAATGAGATGAATTTTATCAAAAATAAAATAAAATTGAACCGAACATATAAAATTTTCACACACATGAACGTATTGATAAAAATAAAATAATAATTTAATCGTAAATATCCACTTTTATTTATTAATTTATATAAATTATTGTATATATATACATGATTTTCTTATTTTAAATTAACTAATATGTAAAATTAATTACATTATATCATTAATATAACATAAAAAATATATAATAACTATCTTATAAATTGAAACAGTTTACTATATATATATATATATATATATATATGCATAAAATTAGTTATTTTATAGCATTAAATAATATATTAATTATAATATAATTAAAATGTATATTTATATACTACATAATTAATAAATAAAATAACTGTTAAATTTTTAATTTTACTCTTATTTATTAATTTATCTAAATTATTATTAGTTATTTTAATTTAAAATATAAATATTCACATTTTATAATTATTTTTATTTGCAAAAATATTTAAACTGGGAAAATTATTTGTAATATAATTCTAAATTTATTTTCTAGGCAAAATTACTCTTTTTGTCCCTTAACTTTAAGGTAAAATTTGATTTTGTCCTCTAACTTTTTTTTATTCATTTTAGTTTTCTAACTTTTATAAAAGTTTTAAATAGGTCATGTTCCATTAAAAACTCAAACTTTGTTAAAAAAATTTGTCGTTTTGTGTCACATGTATAGTAGCATTATTCATCGTCTTCCTATTCATATCTTTAACGTTATTTTTGACACCTCTTCCTCTCTTTTTTTTTCATCTTATTCTCAAAACTCCATCTTCTTGCCATCAACAACACCAAGCACCTACCTCTAATATCATGAATTTAAAATCAACTTCTGCATTTCCACATTGTCTCTTAGATTCTCTTTAAAATCAACTTCTTGCCATCAACAATATCAATGCACTGCTCCTTGAACTGATCCGTGTAGAACAAGCACGTTTTGTACTCACCTTGAATGGTAGCTGTTGATATATTTTGGTAATTTACGTGAGTATATTTCGAGAGTCATTCTCCCAAATACTACAACCCCATGGAAGACAATGTAGCGGTTCCGTGTGGCCTCAAAAACAAGCACAAAGTGATGAGACACGATGACTCTCCCACTCTCGCTGCAAATTATAGGGTGCTTCATGTGGGTGTGTTTACGGTGAAAAATGACAGTTGTAAACAAATAATTCAAAGATCAATTTGGGGGCTGGATTTAGGTCCTCTTTAGGTTCTTTTAAGTGTGTTGTTAACGTAACAATGAAATGGGCGCGTGAATTCAGCAATTTAGCAAGAATAGTGAAATATTAAACGTGCAGAATTGACTCAAACATAGAGGTTCATTACAGAAAAGTATGAAATAAGAAATGAATTGCAGAAACAAGAACAAAAGCAAACAAACGAAGAAACTTGAATTGAAATGCAGAGTGTAAAGGTACTGGAATGTAAATATGTTGAAATGTAAACGTACGACTCCTCACAACGGCAAACAACGGCCACCGTAGGTCTCCTTGTAGCTGATGTCTGGCACGGTGCAGGGTTTCAGTGTCTCAGAGTGTTTAGGTGCGGTGTCTGGGTGCAAAAAGTTGTCCCCTGTG